TGTTTTTGCTAATAACACTGTGATGTTGATGCATGCATCACTAATCTGTATGTATCTGATTATTACCAGTCATAATTGGCTGCACTCGGATCCTAGGCACCCGTGTATGCATATAAAGTCATCGGGTGGATTTCAATAGTAATGTTTATCACCTGTACTAATTAACATGACATAAATTTTTATGCTTCTTCCTCAAATATAATTCATTTTTTAAGATTTGTTGATTTGTGTGTGTGCATATGGTTCTGCATGTGTGTGTGTGTTTGTGTGTGTGTGTATTTGTACATACACATGTGTGCCTACATGTGTGGAGTCTATAGGTCAACTTTGCCTGCCTTTTCTCAGGTGCTGTCCACCTTATCCTTTTGAGACAGGGCTTCTCACTGGTCTGGACTCACCAACTTCTCTAGAATGGTTGGCCAGGAAGCCCCAGGCTTCTGTCTCTCTGCCTCCCCAGTGTTGAGATTGAAAGCATGCTACTGCATCCAACATTGATTTTTGTTGTTGTTATTGTTGTTGTTGTTGTTTTTGTTGTTGCTGCATCTGAGTTCTGAGGTTTGAATTCAGAACCACATACTTGGAGGAAAGCACTTTAGTGACTGAACAAGCCCAACAGATGAACTGTGGGGTTTTGTCTTTTTTTATTTTTAATGTTGAAGCTCTCTAGCTTTTAAAGGCTGATTGCCACAGCATATGATGAAATGTTCCTGGCCAGCTTTTGAAGTATTTCATCTTAGTGATCTGCCAAGCATTCTGAATACACTTTCTCCAAGTGGACTACCCTTAAAACATGGGGAAGGCTTATTTACTTTACCTTCAAGATCCTTATTAGCAGTTGTTAAAAGTCAAGATTTATTCATCAATATAATCCACAGACTCAATTTACCAAATTTCCCTTCCTTTAATGAAATTTGTCTGTAGGGCTTTTAAATATTCATTTATAAAGTTAGAACTAAATTCAGCTGTGCTGTCTTGTAGCTAGATGGCCACATTATTACTTGTCTGTCAAATATAAGTAGGGTTGTTAATAATATGGACATAGCTACTGAAGATTCTAAACAGGAGTGTTTCCTTTAGAGGAAATTGCAATTCTAACTTCTGAATTACCTTTGGAGTCAATTATGTTACTTTGTCAGTATCAGGCAATTGCTTACTTCTTAGTTTGGGGAACAAGATACAAGTTAATAACAATCTTCAAAATATTTACCTCCAAAAGGCAAATAAAGCTTAAGAATAGAAACACTAGGAAGATAGTGAATAGACCTGTCCTTCACATGAGGACCAAACTGTTCGATTCACTCCATGGAGGAGAATAACCTTTTGCAGAGCACGGTCCTCTGAGTTAACAGCCATTGTATCTTAAATAGAACAGTTGCTGTTACCTGCAAGAGACCCTCACCATTACAGGTTATTCTGCCAGTCCCTCATAGAAGGAAGATACAGACAGGATCATCAGACCCTCATGTAAGAGATCAGACCACTCTTGGCCTCTCCTTCTGCTGTATGTAATCCTGTTCTAGCTCTGTGTGGCCTCAGGAAGTGCTAGTAGAGAGTGTGGAAGGGAAATTGAAAAAGAAACTCCAACTTTGCACATATGTGGAACTTATCTGTGCTGCAGTAAAATTTTCTGGAGATATGGCTGTTTTGATATTACCTGTATTCTAGTAGATAATCCAAATAAACTCACTGGCTCACAAAGTTTCTGGTGGAATTTTTTCTTTGGTCTTTTGTTGGGGCTGTACCTGGGGTGACCAGACGTTTGTTCAAATCTTCCTAGGGCAAGTTCAGGTAATACTCCATGTTCCTTATGCTTGATATATGTTTTTTTTATTGGATATTTATTGGATCAGGTGCTAAAAATGTGAATAATTGTAGGCTTCTGTAAAAGGATTAGGCTCTATTGCTTGTCAAGTAATGATTATCTATCTATCTATCATGTATCTATCATCTATCTGTCTAATCTATATCTATATCTATCATCTATCTTCTATCTCCCTACGTATCATCTATCTAGCATCTATCTATCATCTTCATCATCTATCATCTATCATCTATCATCTATCTTCTGTCATCTCTCTATCTCCCTATGTATCATCTATCTATCATGTCTATCATCTATCTATGTATCTATCTTCATCATCATCAATCAATAAACTATCAGCTATCTAGGTATCTGTTAAACAATCAATCCATCAATCAGTCTATTATTCATCTATCTATCATTCATCATATGATAAACAGTGATGGGAAATAGATCTCAATATATGTTTTCCTTTTTCTTTGATTCCACAGCAGAATCAAGAAATAGCATATCACAAGCAAAATAGTTTAAAAAT